AAAAAAAGCAAAATCGTGCGAGAACTGAACAAACAAATTGCAAAAAAATCGGAAATTTTGACTGGTCTCAAGGCAAAAAAGGAAAAAAAAACAAAAGACCAGAAAAAACATACTAGAACCGTCGCTACAGTGATATAGTGGATCTCGAGGCACCAGCAGTATCGTAGCGCTGAGCAGTCGTCCGTACAAAGAAATGGACATTTGTAACAATGAACCCACATCAGTCCCCTGAAAGTGCAAAACTAGAAAAATTTAAAGAAAAAAGTGATGGCACCTTTAGCGGTGTACAGAGATCCACCATTGACTTCGCAGTCAATAACCGAACATTATGCATAGATTTCAATTGCGCTCCTAAAAAAGAAAGGTTGCAAAAATACAACTTCAGAAAACATAGCTACCTAGATAAATTGTATAGCATTCGTTTATACCAGGTTCTTCACTCTCTGATTTCTGAGTAGGACGTCTCCTAAAAAGAGGATGGCTACAGCAATTGCCAAAGCAAAGAAAGTTGCCAAAACTACACACATTTCCGCAGCTTCTGCAGATTTGCTGGATCCATCCTTGATGCTGCCTCCATTGTACAAAGCGTCAACCATATCCCTGTAATGCGAAAATCTCAAAGCATCAAATTACTGAACTTCTCCCTACCTGAACTCCTTCCGCTGCTTCTCAGCAAGCAGCTCAACTTGACATGCATAAGAAACATGAAGATTCTAAAAGTCAATGAAGATAAGCAAGGAAAAAATTCGTATATGCTAGAACATACCCTCAATTTCTCGTTGAGATTGCTGAGCTCATGCGGATGAACGTCAGTGTTGTGTGAAGCATCGTTGACGGCGTTTTCACATTTACTCGTCAGCTGCGCAACGTCCCAGTTGCGGACGCGGATAACTTGACTCATCTGAAAAGAGACTTCTCTAAATTGCTTTCAGAGAAGAGTGAATATACAGAAATAATCAGAAAAGGGAAAGTATGGCTACGAAAAAAGCATCCTTTATTTGAAGAAAAAGAAGAATCTAGAATAAATGGAGTTCTTACAAAAATTAACACGCATAGTCGTTTGACGAAAATTCTGCACGCAACAAAAGCAGGAAGCCGCGGGTTGCATAGCTTCGCTTTTTCAGTGACTTAACCACGAAAAAAGAACAATTCAATGATGCTTCAGGCTAGCAACAGACTTATAGAAGCTGCATAAAATAAAAACTTGTTATCATTTGTGTCCATAGAGCATACTGGATTTTGAAAAACGACAGAAAGAATTCAAAAGTTACATCTAAAAATAACAAATTCAAAGAGTATGCGAAAGGTAGATATACCTCATTCATCATAGCAATCTGCCTTCGCATCAGCTCTGCCAACTCTTCCGACGGAGAATTACGCATTATGTGGGAGAACTTGTTGGCAAATACCTCAGCTTGATCCAAAACAGGCTGCAATATAGAAATTTAACGATTCGAATAGGGTAGAAGAGACAATCTCACGTGTGGATCAGGATCGATGTCAGGCAGCTCAAATCCTGTCTCGAGAGCTTTCAAAATCAAAGCATCATCCCGTTCATCTTGTATTCTCACAGTTTCGTCATATATGAAACGGCGCATATCTTTGCGTAGCTCTGAAAAGTATTTCAAGGAGATATGTAGATACTCAACTATGCTCTTATCATATACATTGACGAGCTGTTGGTTTCTCTAGAGCAAGCCTTCGCTAAGCAAGGTATAATGGAAATGCCACGAAAAGGGCACAGATAGGTACGGTTATGGACTGTAGGGAGTATAGATTATGATATCCTGCAAATTCTTCAACCCACCCACTTCATTCACGTAGTCGAAGAGCCCTCTCGAACCAAAAACTGCCAGGTATTCGTCCACGTCCGAATATTCAGGGAGTGGGATAGGAATATCCAGCCGGAGTTGGTCACGGTCTTCACTGGTGTAGTATTTGGCAAGCTCGTCCGGTATCACGTAAGTGCATATTGTAGGGTTATCGAGACTCATACCTTGTGGGAACTGAATTAGCTTTGTCAAGACATTCTAGTAAGACATCTATAGCATCGTCATGTAGGTATATTAGTGCCTACAAAGCAAAGAAAAAGTGGATTCATGGCGAGTATGAGTAGAAATTATGCTCCATTCACAATTTTGACACAGCGCGCAGA